GACGAGTCCTTCGTGGAGCCGCTGGAGCAGATCCTGGCACACGCACCTTTGGCTGCCGGTGCCCCTGGGCCGGCCGGCCCCGAGGAGGCCAGGGCCCAGGTGGTGGTGGTCGGGGCCACCTTCCCCACGGGGCTGAGCGAGGTGCTGGGGAAGTTCACTGATGTGGGCCGTTTTGTCACCATTGCCACCCAGGGCCTGCACCGCCTGCCGCCTCACATCCAGCAGAAGTTTGTCCGCCTCAAAGGCCAGGACAAGCTGCCCGAACTGCTGCAGCTACTCAAGGAGCACCCAGCATCCGGCGGGGCTGTTCTCATCTTCTGCAAGAGTGCCAGCACCGTCAACTGGCTGGGCTACATCCTGGATGACCACAAAATCAAGCACCTGAGGTTGCAGGGACAGATGTCAGCAGCTGCTAGAGCTGGCATTTTTGCCTCCTTCCAGAAGGGTGACGTGTCTGTTCTCGTCTGCACTGACCTTGCTTCGCGGGGGCTGGACACCAGCAGTGTGCAGCTAGTGGTCAACTACGACTTCCCAGACACCCTGCAGGACTACCTGCACCGTGTGGGGCGAGTCGGACGGGTTGGAAGCAAGGCGCCTGGAGCTGTGGTTAGTTTCGTCACTCATCGGTGGGAAGTGGACCTGGTGCGGAAAATAGAGACTGCAGCCCGGAAAAGGACAGATCTCCCAGGCATGGACTCCTCGATCAATAAGCCTCCAGCTAAAGGAGGTTGATTCAGGTTGCCAAGCAGTAATAAGTGGTCTGGTAGGAACTAAGCTCGAAGTCATTAAGGCAGAGAAAATGAGCTTCTGTATGTAAGTTAGGCTGAAAGAATAGAGAATTGAGTTTCAGAACCAGGTAATCAGGTTAACTTTGTGCACTGTTCTGGAAGCTGCTATAGTCCTTTCCAAAAGCGTTGCAGCTCATGGCTTTCCAAGAGGAAACTAGTAAGTGGGTAACAAAAGGCTTCTGGAGAAGAGTGAAGAATGATCTCCTCAGCTGATTTTGCTTAATTTTGTTGAGATGTTTAACTGAAATTCGAGTCAGAATGGAAGTATGCGTGTATGATGTGCAATTCTGTTGCATTTCATTGCTTTCCACCTCCAACTAAGCATTCATTATTAAAACTTAAAAGTTGCTAGTGTGACTGGAAAAAAAAGAAAATACTCTTGTGACTGAGCAATTGTAGAAGTAGAAAGACTAAAGGACAAATTCTGTTTGATTTTCTTGTGCTATAGCAGTTCATTCAGAGAACTTTAGACCAGATACCTCTAAAGTTTGGTGGGAACAAGGAGGCACAATAAAGCTTGAGGTTTTTTAAAGGTCTTTATTTGTCACTTTATGGTTACCTTGCACTGAGAAAGAGGATCTTACTGCTTCATGTTCTTTTAAATAATAAAACTTTTAAGTGCTTTCTGCTCGTTTTTTTTTTTTTTTTCCTGCATGCAGTAGTGACATGACCAGTCTCTGAACTGATTGTAAAAACAAGAACAATGGAAAAAATAACACCAGAAAAGGTCTCCTGTTAAAGAAAGGTGTGTTGACTCACAGATTCTAATGACTCTGGTAACAGTGAGTACAAGATCTCTTTTGATTATTGTGCCATTGTTCATCTCCGTTTTAAACAAAAGGATTAAAGTGAGCTGAAGCTATTTCATATCTACAGGTAGTTTGTTTCCATGGTGAATGATGACAGAAAAATAACATTTTAGCTCAGATTTCTGTTGCAGTGATTTATCATAGCCTTTTCTTTTAGTGGTTGAATTTTCCATACTATTCAATTCAGCCTGTGCTAAAACTCAGTATATAGAAATAGTAAGCTGTTAAATGGAAAGATCACAAGATAGAATCTAAGTCATTAGTTTCAGAGGAAGTGCTCCTAGTATACTGAGAGTAAAAACTAAACAGAATTTGCCCATGTAATCACTGAAGGATAAGGCTATATAACCTTATCCTAGAAGTTGTATGCCTACTCTGTTCACATTAAGGAACTCTTTAAGAGAAGTTGTAAGCTGTGGTAGAATTATTTAATACAATAGAAATTTTTCAACTTTATAGAAATATAGTGAAAGAGACTTGGAGACTGGAAACCTTTGTATCCTGGACCCATTAATTGCAGGGGCTACTTGCTTCTCATCTGTAGTTCATTTAACTGCAAAGCAGATGATTTATGTGTCCACAAGCAGAAGCTTACTGTTCATATATAGGAGTAGGATAAATCCTTAAACAGATGTTAATATGCATCTCATGTTTTATCATGTCCTCTGAACTGCTGAGAAAGAGCTTCCTTGAACTGTAGACACTGAGACTAATTTAAATGAGGTTAATTGTATTCAAGAAACTCCAAGTAAGAAGTTTTAATATTTCCTTGCCTCATTTTCCTAAGCAATTTCAGGGTGACTCCATCTCAAGTGCCATATAATTTGAATCTGATCTTTTTCAAAGCTGTAACCCTTCACTTCTCATGCAAGATTCGTGGTCGAACTACATGGTAATGGTTGTTCATAATTAATGCATCTGCTTAATTTCTATCAGTAACTAAGTGGTATTGTTGATAAGACAGTAGTTTGGGTTTGTTGTTGGGTTTTTTTTTTTCTTGAGTTAAAATACGTAGAAGGAAAATGAGAGGAAGGGTTTCTTCTGATAAATTCTCCAGGTTATAAAACACAATCTGGGCATACTTGACATTGAGGTATAAAGTACACGTTAAAAATCAACTATGTGTGTATTATACACTATAGAAACTAATTGTGTGTGTTCTGATAGTCATATTCTGTTGAAGCTATTCTAAAAGGTTCTTTTTGTTATGTTTCTTAGATTTATAATTTGCAGTTTAACTTCTGTAAACTGACTTTTCAGAACTCAGTAACATAGTCTATGAATCTGGAATCATGTCACGCTGAACCTCATGACAGGGCAGTCTGGATTGAAGGTCAATAGTATCAAGACAGCATAGTGAAATAGTAAAATCCTTTCAGCTATACACTGCTTAATTTTGAAGTAATGTGCACGTTATGTATTTACAAACAGTAACCTGGAACTTGGTACAAACGCTCTACACTAATTTTTGCTAGGGTATTGTTGATAAAACCACCGCCAAAAACTTTTGACATATATGCACAGGGCCAATAAAAAGCTTGGGAAGATAGTCTCAGAGAGCACTATATTTACCAATAAAGCCTTTTGTAGACATTATTTTTGAACAAAACCACACTCTTTTAAGCATATATTGAGAAATACTGCTTTCCTTCTGTTTGCCACACAAAGAGACAGCTACTGGAGCCAGTGATTAACGGCAGTAATTACATTCAGGAGCACATGGACATTCAAACCCTGGGGTACATAAGCTGGTACAGAGCCACTAAACGCAGATATCCACATCACTGACACGTGTTGTGTGAAAGGTTTTACCACCCAAAAGGTAAATGCTGTAGCAAAGCCTTCAAGGAGATTTAGAGGTGCTAGCAAGTTAAAAGTGCACGTGGCTCACACACTGTCAAACTTGGTTAAGAAACAAAGACATATTCAAAGACTTTTCAATTTGACTTTTCCCAAACTACTTTTCAGTGCTCTTTAAACATTATAGCGCTCATTGTTCACATCCTAATGACTGCCTACATATGTAATTAACAGCTCTTTTCTTGCCTGCCCATGTTCTACTTTCTGTGTAACTTATTTTAGCCTTTATGGGCGTAACTACGACTGCATACGAGTTCTGTCTTATGGGCCCTACAAGGACGTGCAGATGCTTATGTTGCACATAACCCAGTGCTCAGCAAGGTCCCCCAGGACAAACTGTGTCAGGTATCCTAACAACTAGATGCAAAAATGCCTTCTGCTAGTCTGACAAAATCCACATTTTTGCAGGCTCTTCCTCTTGAAATGTATTTGTGAGCCCAATTTACAGGTTAGTGGTCGAGTGTGTGGTAGAGAAGTTCTCCATGCGAATTCTGACCAGTTTCTCGGTGGGAACTGGCCGCAGGAAGAACCTGCAAGTGCAGACTTGCCGGCAGGCCTTGCGGAAGTTTTCTGAGAGGAAAGCGTAAATGATGGGGTTGATGCAAGAGTTCCCGTAGGCTAAGCAGTGAGAGATGATGCGGAAGGTGAAGGAGATATTGTTCAGAGGAAACTGCCCAAACTCTGCCCACATCGTGATGATGTGGTGTGGCATCCAGGAAAGCAGGAACACGGCGACCACGAGAAGCACTGTCTGGGCTGTCTGGAAAACAAAACAGATCACACATTAAATGGTGGCAGTGATCAAGTGAGTCTGGTATGAGTGAGTTTGCCTTCCTCTGTCAGTAGTGAAGGCAGCGTAACACAGGCAATACTGACAACTACCAGGTGGATAAATTGTGGCAGTATGAAACAGGATGCTAAAAGCAGCCCTTCTTCCAGGAAAACAACGATTGCCTGGGTTTGGCTCAAGGAAGTAGCTATAGGCGCTGGAGAGCGTGCCCATAAAACCTCAAACAATGCAGGGGCTGCAAAAGGAGTGCTATCTGTTACATGGAAGAG